GATGTGCATGACATTGTTGCAGAGACAAGTCACGTCCGTCTTGCTCGCCGTTTTGAGATCCTTGCAGCATTTTTCTGATGGCAACGCACTCATCGTTGCGTAGCAATTTTGGACGATTTCAGGGACTGAAAACGGGCACACTGTACGGTCTGTACCTGATGTACGGTCTGTATCCGATGTATCTGTTTGTTGCGGTGGTTTTTTTGCCTCTGTCCACTGAGGAGCGATCACTACCGCTAGAAGCAGCACCGTTGTAACTGCAACCGCCATTATGTTCGTGTAAGCCATTTATGACTATTGATTATCCAACTCCGGCAAACTAAAAAAAGGGGTTTTATGTTAAATGACTATTAGCCCCACTTTTGTTCTAGCATGTGACTTCTCAAAACTCAAAAGTACATTATCATTTACATATACAAAAGTCTTTGAATAGTCGAATGTATACTTATGTACATTATTGATACTATTAATCAAAACAAGAAATTAATTTGTTCTCGCGTTAATGGTCTGTCCATTACCCACCATTCTCTTGACCCTTTCGGAATAAGATTCCGGCCAGCAAAGATATTGCATCAAGCATGGTTTGACCTTGAACCCACTAGTACATATTCAACCATATGTACTACTAGTGGAAGTATTTTGCCCAGTAAGTCTCTCGTGGGGTTGACACATGATACAAAACTGCTAATGTATTTTGAATTGATCAAATACTCTTGTTTATTTTTTTCTTTGTTTAATTTGAATTTGCTCAAGTAGTTTCTAAAAGTACTATGAATGTATTTTCATTAACGTATATTATTCTGAGGGTAGTACTAAAATATATGATAATACATATCAAAAAGAATTTTATGCAAAAAACCTTATAGTCGCTATTTGTTTGCAACTTCAACCTCTATTTTTTTTTCTAAATGCAGATTAATCATATGAAATAAAAAAAATAGTACATAATACAACCCTCATATGTATCTTCTAAAAGTGTTTACGGTCACATACATTTAATTTTCAAAATTCAAAAAATGGACGTGATTACTCTTCGTCTCGAGGTTTCCGATTTGATATGTTATTTATGAATATATTACATACTTGACGATGATAACGACGGGTTATATATGTATTATTTTTTGACTTCGTAAGATTGACATGCATTAAGTTCAAGGGTAAAGTTGGAAAAAATAGCGATATAAAAGATTTTTTGTAGAAAATCCTATTAGTAAATATGTAGGCGTGATGATATGTAAATAAATAATATGATTAGCGGGTTTGAACATTTCCTTTACAACATCTTTCTTTTATATATATCCGGGATATCTCAGAATTACATAGAATTTGTAAGGCCAAATTGAAATAAATTAAAATAACAAACTTGCAACCAAACCAAAGAGACCCATGGATACAGCAATCTTGTTCGTTGACCCTCCGCTTGCTCCTCCTTTACCACACACAAAACAAAAATCAACTAATCACCATAATAATACAATAACTTGTGTTTCAAATTGCATTAAGAATCTACATGCATAATAACCTAATCTGAAACCAAAAAAATCTTGCGTAATCAGTAATGGTATTATATCTCTAAATTTGTCCTATTGAAAACAAAATGTAGTTTGAACAATACTAAAGGAAAAGCCATGAAAATCAGAGATTAAATCCTCAAAAATAAATTACATACCTTTACATGCAAATTTGTCGGCAACGCCACAGGCGCTGTTTACTAGGTCGTAGCGAGCTCTAGTGATATTGCCGTTGGAAGGATGTGCAATGAAATTGTCGCAGAGACAATTCACTTGTATATTGCTCGACGATTTGAGATCATTGCAGCACTCTTCAGATGGCACCAAATCCAAGTTAAAGTAGCAAAGTTGGACGATATTTGGGAGTTCCGCCAACGCGCACACAGGATTCAACTTTGGCATTGGTGGCATTGACTGTGCATCCACAACCGTAACTGCTAGAAACAGCACCACTGTCGCAACCGTAGCCGCTGCCGTAACTTTGTTTGTGTAAGCCATGATCGCCGGCAAAAACAAAGGTTTAATCTTTTTTATTTATTTTTGAAATGACTAGTGGTTCGCTCTCTTTTTTTTTGTATGTGACTTCTCCAAAGTACATTATCATATATATAGAGAGTCTTGGTATGTACCTTATTGATATAACTAATCAAAATAATAACATAGTCGTATTTTTTTTGCTTCACAATGTTGACCAAACGTGTACGACTTTCTTATATGGCATTTGATTTGTTGATTTGTTCTGAGAATATATATTTACTAGATTTTAACCCGCGGTACACCGCGGAGCTATACTATAGATATA